CATACGAGCAACCGGCCTTATGCCTCAGTACTGGGATAACTGCTGGCAGCAGTGGTGTGACTATGGGGCTTTTTAAAAATTAATTTGGGGGCTGGAGAGATGGCTCAGCAGTTAAAGAGGACCAGCTTCTCTTCCAGAAGACCTGGATTTGATTCCCAGCACCCACATGGCAGCTTACAACTGTCTGTGACTCCAGTCCCAGGAACTGTCACCCTTTTCTAGTCTCTGTGGGTACTGTATCCACGTGGTATACAGAAATTCATGTAGGCAAAACATTCATACATATAAAATAGCCAGCTTGGTCTACACAGCAAGTTCCAGGACAGCCTGGGCTACACAGGGAAACCCTGTCTTGGGAAAAAAAAAATAAATAAAATAAAAAGGAATAAATATATATATATATATATAAATTTTAAAAATGGGTTTAGCCAGGAGTGATAGTGTATGCCTTTAATCCCAGCACTCAGGAGGCAGAGGCAGGTGGATCTTTGTGAGTTCAAGGCCACATGGTGAGTCCCAGGACAGCCAGGGCTATGAAAAGAGACCCTAGCTCAGAAAACTCCCCCAAAATAAATCAATTAATAATAATAAATAAAAGTAAAAAATGGATTTAGCATGCACACAGTATACAAACATACATTCAGGCAAACATACACATAAAATAAAATATTTTAAAAAAACACTGAAGACAGCTTATGTTGGAGAGGATGTGGAGAAAGGGGAACACTCCTCCACTGTTGGTGGGAATGCAAACTTGTACAGCCACTCTGGAAATCAGTATGGCAGTTTCTCAGAAAATTGGGAATAAGTCTTCCTCAAGACCCAGTTATACCACTCTTGGGCATATACCCAAGGAACGCTCAATCTTACCACAAGAACACATGCTCAACTATGTTCATATCAACATTATTCATAATAAATAGCAAGAACCTGGAAACTAGATGTCCCTCAACTGAAGAATGGATAAAGAAAATATGGCACATATACACAATGGAGTACTACTCAGCAGTAAAAAACAATGATATCATGAAATTTGCAGGCAAATGGATAGATCTAGAAAATATCATCTTGAGTGAGGTAACCCAGACTCAGAAGGACAAACATAGTATGTACTCACTTATAAGTGGATACTAAATGGGAGGGAAGGGATGGCCAGACTGCAACCCACAACTCCTGAGAGGCTAGCTAACAGGGAAAGACCCTAGGAGGGACACATGGATGACCCTGCGAAGGAGAAGTGGATTAGATCTACATGAGCGGACTGGGTGTGGGGGGGTGGCAGAGGGCGATGAGTGGGAGATGAGAACATAGGGAAATGGGAGGGTCGAGCTGGAACAGGGACAGAGTGGGAGGGCAGGGAGGAAGATATCATGATAGATGAGGACATCATGGGAATAGGAAGAGGCAGGGTGCTGGGGAGGATCTCAGGAATCCACAAGGTTGACCCCATCTTGGTCTGCTGGCAGTGGTCTAGATGGTGCCTGGACTGGTCTACTCTGGTGACCGGTCTAGCGAATAACCTAGCTGTCATCATAGAGCCTTTGTCCAGTGACTGACAGAGGCAGATACAGAGATCCATGGCCAGGCACCAGGCTGAGCTCCGGGAATCCAATTGATGAGAGAGAGGAGGGATTCTGCAGGTGAGGGACGTCAAGATCATGATGGGAGGACGTGCAGAGATGACTGGCCACACTAGTGGAAGCCCATGAACTGTGGACTGGTGGCTATGGAGCCCCCATGGGACTGGACTAGGCTCTCTGGATACGGAAGACATTTGTTTGGCTCAAACTGTTTGGGGGGCACCCAGGCAGGGGGATCGGGATCTGTCCCTGGTCTATGGGTAGGATTCTGGAATCCGGTACCTGTGGTGTGACACCTAGCACAGCCTTGGTGCAGTGGGAGGGGCTTGGGCCTAGGCTCAGTGTGCTGGGCTTTGCTGACTCCCCATGGAAGACGTCGATTTGGGGGATGTCTGTGAGTTCGAGGCCAGCCTAGACTACAGAGTGAGTTCCAGGACAGGTTCCAAAGCTACACAGAGAAAGCCTGTCTCGAAAAACAAAACAAACAAACAAACAAAAAACAACAACAAATTGAACTTGCTTTTTTGTTCATTTGTTTTTTTGTTTGTTTGTTTTTTTGTTTTGTTTTGTTTTGGTTTTTTTTGCTTTTTTCGAGACAGGGTTTCTCTGTGTAGCTTTGCTCCTTTCCTGGAACTCACTTTCCTGGAACTCAAGGTAGCCCAGGCTGGCCTTGAACTCACAGAGATCTGCCTGGCTCTGCCTCCCAAGTGCTGGGATTAAAGGCGTGCGCCACCACCGCCCGGCTGAACTTGCTTTTAAATTATAAAGTATGAATACTTGGAAAATTTAATTAATTTTTTAATTTCAATTTTAAAGTGCATACAGAGAACTTAAAAGCACCTAAGAGTTTACTCAGGGGTGTGTTGAGGGGGGGCTCACAGGAATCGGTTTTTGGCTGTGCTTCCTGGCCCATGTAGATAGCATGCACCATGGTGTTTTGGACACAGAATATTACCTAGTAAGCTTTCCTAACTGTGCCCCTGGCTGCAGCAGCGCACAAGCCATGAAGCCGAGTCTCCTTTGACATGGGCTACTGGAGAGCTCAGGGCCAGCCTGGAGCCAGCAGCTCCGAGGTTCAGTAAGCATGGCATGACTGCTCAGACCTTTCTTCACCCTGGCCTTCACCTGGCTTACTCTTTCTTTTCTTTCATCCATAATCTATTTTAGTCTCTATTTTTTTTTCATATTTATCTTCTCTACCTTTCAATAAGCCACTTTAAACCTACTTGAGCGTGAGGGAGGCGGTAATTTTGTTTTTAATACTAAAGGTGGCCTGTGTTTATGAACGTGTGAATCCTATTTAAAGTTACATTGCCCACAGGGTACTGCCGATCACCAGGGACTCTGCCCAGACCTGGACTTGCCTACCCAACCTCTGGCCAGGCAACAGGCAGGCCTGAGCTCCAGGATGCAGGTGGCTCCTGAACTTTGAGGATGTCCTTGGGGACACTGGTGACCTTCCAAGTTAGGAAGCCCTGACTCCACACTGTGCATTTCCAGGTGTGCTGCTGTCCTAGAAGAGTATGCCATTCCCCTGGGAACATTCAGCATGGGATGCAAGGCCTGAGCCCAATTGCAAGGCAACCCCAAAACACAAGGAGAGTAGTCTTCTCTGCTTTCTTTGTGGGACTGGGGGAGGGGGCTTGAGACAAGGTTTCTCGATGTAATAGCTCTGGCTGTCCTGGAACTCACTTTGTAGACCAGGTGGCCTTGAACTCACAGAGATCCACCTATCTCTGCCTCCCAAGCGCTGGGACTAAAGGCTGCGCCACCACCCAGCCACCACGCCCAGCCCAGCTGTAGTCTGCTTTTCTACAGGGGACTATAGTTCCCTCAAGTGTCAACACAATGAAAGCCAAAGGGAAGACCAGGGAAACGTCCAGATGACTCACACAACACTGCCCCTGGCCACTGAGTCAGGTGGCCATGAAGGCAGTACTGGCTCCACTGATGAATGGAAATGGACGGGTTAGATAAAACAGCTATGGGTAGACAGACAGAAAGACAGACAGACGTTAACCTTACTGGACCGATAATGACATGACGGGGTAACCTGTTTGGTTTGGTTTTGAGACAGTCTCCCTCTACAGCCCATGCCCCTCTCACACTCCCTGTGTAATCCAAGCTGATCTCAATTTTGCTATAATCCTTCCTGCTACAGCCTCTTTAGTGCTGGGATCACAAAGAGACTGACACAGTCAAGACTGAGAGATATACACGGGACTGGAGAGATGGCTCAGCAGTTAAGAGCACTTGCTGCTTTTCCAGAGGACCCAAGTTTGGTTCCCAGCACTGAAAAGCTATGGGGATCCAATGCCTCTGGCCTGTATGCAATCATATGCACATAGCCACATGCAGACATGCTGCACATAATTAAAAGTATCAAAACAAATCTCTACAAGAAAAAGAAAAGAAATGCACACTGTAGTCAGGTGTGGTCTCCCATGCCTGTAATCCCAGAATGTGGGAGTTAGAGACAGGAGGATCAGAATTTAATCAACAAGATAGCAAGTTCAATGCTGGCCTGGTCTACATGAGATCTTGTCTCGACAAAACAAGGCAAAGCAAAAGTAAATATATACCAGCCTGAAAAATATGGACAAACGTTTGATAAAACCTTTTGTGTTTGCATATGTTCATGTGTGCATGGAGACACATGAGAGAGGGCAGAAACACACACACTGAAATTACACAGACACACACAAGGGAGCAAATAAATGCTGGTCAAGAAAGACCCCCATGTTCCTTGCCCTTTGTAACTATTTTGAATAAACAGTTAAAAACAATCTTGTCTGAAAGCATTCAGTCTTTCCCCTCCAGCTCTCTTACACGTGTTTAAGCATGTGGAAGCACATTCATGTCTGTGGGCATGTACGTGTGGAGGTCAGGGAACGAACTTGGTAGGTAATCCTCAGGCGCTATCTACCTTTCTTTGAGACAGGGCCTCTCACTGTCCTCAGGCTCACCTGGTAGGCTAGACAGCCTGGGCAGTGAGCCTCAGGGACCTGCCTACCTCTGCCTTCCCAGCACTAGGGTGTCAACAGTGTTCCAGGCTCCAGGGATCAGACGCAGGTCCTCATGCTTGCACGCCAAGCACTTTACTGATGAGCCCTAAGAGTTCTTTAATAAAGGCAAAGCAGTTTCTGCTTGTTCCTCCTGACTCCCAGGCCTCAGTGCCCAGGAGCAGCGGCCCTGGCAGATCACAACAGCATCTCTCCTTGCTCACCCCAAGGGCTGACCTCAACTGCATCCTTCTCAAAAACAGCTTTGTTTTCCTTCTGGAAGTTTCTAGACCACCAAAGACAACTGCTTCAGAGTCTCCTGAATGTCATTTTCTCACAGACTTTCATTCTCTTTAGTAAGTTCGCTTTAAGTCTGGGGGGACAAACCCAGGACACCCTTTCTCTCATGGCGCCTCACCGTCCCAGGCCTTGTGAAGTCCACACTGTGTGCCAGGCTCTGCCGCATCTGGTTGCTGAAGAGGCGGACGCAGACGCTCTGCAGGTACTCGGGGGTGATCTGCAAGAAGGAAAGGCCATCAGGTGAAAGGCATGCAACAGGACCTTAAGGCCCGCTACCTCTCAGCATTTCTTGTAGGAGAGCTGATGAAATAGCCATGCTAGAGAGAGCATCTTACGCTTTATCCTCTGTTTTAGCTTCTGCTGCTGGGACAAAAATACCTTACTGTGATAGTATGGATGTAATTGGGCCCCATAATCTCATAGGGAGTGGCACTATTAGGAGGTAAGGCTTTGTTGATGTGGGTATGGCCTTATTGGAGGAAGTGTGTCATTTTTGGGGAGGGCTTTGAGGTTTCCTATGCTTAGGATACCATCCAGTGTCTCAGTCGACTTCCTGTTGCCTGCAGGATATAGGATTCTCAGCTACTCCTCCAGCATCACATCTGCCTGCATGTTGCCATGCTCCCTGCCATGATGATAATGGACTGAACCTCTGAAACTATAAGCAAGCCACACCAATTAAATGTTTTCTTTATAATAGTTGCCATAGTCATGGTCTCTCTTCACAGTAATAAAAACCCTAACTAAGAAACTTACAAAAAGTGACATAAGGGAAAATGGGTTTCCTTTAGCACACTACTCCAGGTACTGCCTGTCACCGTGGGGAAGTCACTAATAGAAACTTGAAGCATCCAGTAACCTCCAGTCAATGGCAGAGAGAATGCATGCTGCATGCTTTGCCCATCTTTTTTTAAAAGAGTTATGTATTTTATATGTTTTGTCTACATGTAAGGGCACTGCATACGTGCCTGGTCCCCAAGGGGACCAAAAGAGGGCACCAGACCACTCCTGGAAGCCACTATGTGGGTTCAGGGGGAACTGAACCCTAGTCCAATGCAAGAACAAGTGTTCTTCCTCAGGGTTTCTCTATGTAGCTCTGGCTGTCCTGGAACTCGCTCTGTAGACCAAGATGGCCTCGAACTCAGAGATCTGCCTGCCTCTGCTTCCTGAGTGCTGGGATTAAAGGCGTGTGTCACCACTGCCTGGCATGTTTGGTTTTTGAGACAAGGTCTTTCTGCACAGCCCTGGCTATCCTAGAACTATGTATTCCAGGCTGGCCTCAAACACATAGCGATCCACCTGCCTTTACCTCCCAAGTGCTGGTATTAAAGGTGTGTGCGGTCATGTCGAGCACAAGTGTTCTTAATCAATGAGCCACCTCCTCAGCCCCACTTTGATACCTGAGGTCCCTTGGCATCTCTGCCTTGATGTCTGTTCCAATCTCAGAGTGCAAAGTCAGTAGCAGGAGCTATGGGCTCATCTTTGATCATCATGCCACACCAGGCATCACATCCTCCTGGCTGCTAAAGGTACACCCAGAATGGGGACACTTATTTTTAATAGGACAGAAGACCAAAGGGAGGCGTGGATTTTTCCTTGTAGTCTTTCTGTGTTATTTGCATTTCTATGTGTGTATTCACGGCTGACTACAGTTCGTCTCCTCCAAGAGTGATGTCAGAGTCAAACTTGGGTCCTTAACCTCTGATCTATCTCTCCAGTCCCCTTTACCTTATCCTTAACACTAGCCATGCATCATAAGTCACCCGGTAACTACAACAACAAAATTATGTGGTACACAGAACTGAGGAGCAGGAGCAGTGCCCTGCCAGGGGAGAGCAAAGCAATGGATCTTCCTATGCGGATTCAGTATCCAGATACTTCTCTGAACTCTATTCATCTTAGTTTTGGGGTTTCTCTCTCTCTCTCTCTCTCTCTCTCTCTCTCTCTCTCTCTCTCTTTCTCCCTCCCTCCCTCCCTTCTTTCTTTCTTCTTTTCTGTTTAGACAGGGCCTTGGCTAACCTGCAACCTGTTATGTAGACCAGGCTGGTCTCAAACTCACAGAGTTCTGTCTTCTTCTGCCTCCCAATGCTGTGATTAAAGTGTGTGCCACTGCACTGGGCCCATAATAACATTAAAAAAAAATACGACAGAAACTGAAAGCAAGGAAAAGCATGTGTTCAGAACACAGGTAAAACCCTGCAAGTGTCGGGACAGCTGCAGCATACTGGCTTTCTGAAATGCAGGACCAGCTCCATCAGTGAGGGGCCAGGAGCTCCACAGCAGTGCAGCCCAGGCCCCACGCACTTCCTCGGAAATACACAAAGGGGATGTTCCTTACCATCTTGCCACTGACTGTCGCCTCTAGAGAATCCACCAGCTCAGCTGTGACTCCGATGAGGTTGTGGTAGTCGGCCTGGATCTTATTGTACCGCTTGAGGTAGGTCATGGCCCGGCGCTCGGCCTCCACCAGCTGCTGGTGGAGCTGCTGCAGCATTTCTAGGAAGACAGTCTACATTGAAGCCAAACACAAGGACAGGAGTGGCAGCAAACCCAGAAACCAAGCAACTGTGCTCTTCTCTGAGGCTGCCAAGCCTTCTGCCACGAAACTTCGCAACACCACATAAATGGTGGCAGTGATAAAAAAGATTTCTGACAGCAAATGCTGGCAAGGATGTGGGGAAGAACTCTTATTCACTGTTGGTGGAAATGTGAACTTGGGCAGCAATTATGGAAAGCAGGGATACAGGTTCCCTGCAAAGTTCACATGACCAAGCTATACCACTCCTGGGCATATGCCCTAAGGACTCTTTGCCCCACCACAAAATGACCTACATATCTGGTTTACTGCTACTGCATTCACAATAACAAAAGAATGGAACAAGCCTAGATGCCCATGTCACATGGGTAGCTAATGAAAATGTGACCCACATACACAGTGGCAGCAATCGAACTGTGGGTTGAAGGTGCACTTGCAGGAGCAGCAGGGCAAGAGCCAAATGCTCGACCATGTTTAAGGATATCAACTGCTGTGGGGTATGGTAGTGCATGAGCCTTTAATCCCAGCACTCGGAAGGCAGAGACAGGTAGACCTGAGTTCAAGACCAGCCTTGTCTACAGAGCGAGTTCCAGGACAGCCAGGAACACACAGAGAAACTCTGTCTTCAAAAACAAAAAGCAAAACCAAACAAAACAAAAAACAAGCCAAGGACTGGCCCTGACTCACTGAGGCCAGGCGGCAGTGACAACGCAGTTGAGAATTCCCTGCCTACCCTTGCAGTGGGCAGAGGAACCTCAGGTGCTGCGGCGCTCCCAGGATGCTCCTGCGCTGTGTGCCAGCTACGCAACAGCCTACTAGTGACTGCACACATTCTAGGCTGGCCCTGTGAAGACACATCTCTATTCCTGCTCCTCCATGCAGGTTCAGCCAGACCTGCCCACTCTGAGCCTTGAGTGTGGGAGCACTCGGGCAGAACCAGTCACACATCTGGAACCATTGGGCTTGGGATATGCAAGAGAAACTGGCACTAAGATGCAGGGCTGCTGACTACACCATACCTGGTGACGTGTGTGTGTGTGTGTGTGTGTGTGTGTGTGTGTGTGTGTGTGTGTGTGTGTGTGTGTGAGGCAGGGGGTAGAAGAATCTGGAGGAGGAAGCTAGAGGAGTCCTCAAATGCTATTGCCGAGTTGGAGTTTACCAAGTTTAATGGGTGAGCCAGGTAGGGCTTCCATGCAAACACAATCACAGACAATAAGACCATGCTGTGTGCTTCCAGAAGGAAAAGAGAATTCTTCTGGGGATTGGAGAAAAGGTTGCCCTCTGTACATCATGTCAGAGAGCCAGTCTGAAAGGTGGCTTACTTAGCAGAGACTTCAAGGCAGCAGGGCACTCAGGCCATGGCATGGGCATTGCTATTTTAACCAAATCCTCAATGAGAATCAAGAGCAAAAGGTCGGCCAGGAAAAGGCCCAGTGGCATACGGCCAAGACTTACCTTAGCTGGTGAAGAAACTAGCTGGATAAAGAGAAACAATGTGTCTGGCCCTTTGTCTAAACTCAGGTTAAGTGAATCAAGCCCTCTGTACCGAGACAAGCAGAAACAGGCCTGGAGGACACTGCAGAAATCTGCGAGGCTACCACAGACTCAGAAAGATAAAATGGTTTCAAAGACTTTCCAGAAAAGAGCAACGGGAGCCCGGCCTGTGCTACGTTCAAGACTCTGTCAAAACCAAACCAAACCTATGGATGCCCTATCCACTCAAGACGGCCTTGGGATTTCTGCAGTCATCCGGATGACTGAAACGCAAGTTCTAAGGGGTCAGGAATGTTTTATTCTGACAGCAGAATCCAATGTCATCCACAGGAAGCTTTTACAGGCAGAATGCAGGAGTTATAGTCATTGCAGCTTCGGCTGAGATTTCAAAGGCAAGCCAGGAGGCTAAGCAGTGTGCTGGGGTTGGAGTCCCTGCAAGCAACTCCCAGTGAGGTGATACATTACAAAGCTCTAGCAGTGACCTTGAAGCCACAAGAGAAGGGTTCCAGCAACGTGCAAGACCCACTCAGGAAAGCGGCAGGCAGGATGCATAGCAGCTTGAGAGCGCCACCAGCAAAGCCACAGGTGGAGGAAAGGCTGAGGAGTCCACATCCCACCAAACTGCCCGCTGCTGGACCTAGGAGCTGTAGGATTTCATGCTCCCTGCTGCATTTTGTTTTCCTGTTCTTTCCTTTTGGGTTAGGAACCTGTATCCTGCCCGCATCCTGCAACTGTGTAAGTTTGTAATTGTTTTGTGTCTTCTACAGAGCTCAGAGCTGGGTTTGCCTTGAATCTTAGATGAATCTCTCGAATTGGGCTTCTAAGCAACGCTAGAACAAGGAAGCTTTTGGGTGCTCTCGGCTGGAATGATGTGTTTTCATTGTGAGATGGTCATTAGCTTTTGGGGTACAATCCAACAGTCTGGATGAGGGTCTCCCGTACAGCCATGTGTTAGAGGCTTAGTCCCCAGGGTGGTGCTACTGGGAAGGCACAGGAACCTCAGGAAGGACCAACCCTCGTCTCTTTGCTTCCTGGTTCATGATGTAAGTGGAGTGTTCTACCACATCACTTACTATTAACATCAGGTGCCCTCACCAGAGACCCAAAGCAACCAGGCTGCCTAATCTGGAACTGAAGCCCCCAGAACTGAGAACTAAATCAACACTTTTTATTTGTAAGTGAACTGCCTCCAATATTGATTTCGTTGTGATGATGGGAAGATGGCTAACACATGAGGAAACCAAGGACAAAACCAAACATTCAAACCCTTCTTGCCTCATGCTACCAGACTCTCCATGTGCATCACAGCTAAATGATCACTCACTTGCCCTCCTTGGTAAGCTGAATTAAATAATTTACTAACACTTCCTTTTAAAAAAATATGCTGGTGCTGGAGATCTGGCTCACAAGCTGGGAACACTGGCTGATCATCCAGAGGGCCTAGGTTTGACTCCCAGCATCCACACTGTCGCTCACAACCATCTGTAACTCCCGTTCCAGAGGATCTGGTGCCCTCTCTGGCACCTGAGAGAACAGGCACACATGTGGTACATAGACTTATGTGGAGACAAAACACCTATATACATAAAATAAAAATAATCTTTTTAAAACGTTAACTCTCTTAAACAAAGCACAAGAAACCCAGGGCAGGACACTCTCAAATCCTGTGACATTGCTCTTCTTGGACCAAGTTTCCACGTGGGAAACTCCATCTGCAGGGAGCTGAGGACCCTGCCTTCCTGAGGGCGTGAAGCTCATCACCAACACGTCCCAACAACTGAAGGCATTTCCAAAACAGAGTATCTAAGACAGGACCAAGGCACAGCATTGCAACTAAAGCCACTGAGGCCATATCAACCAGTTTTTCTCACCTTACTAAAAGATGAAATGCTCCAGTAAAAATTATTGCCCATGGAAAAAAATACCATTTCATGTAAACACTCAAGACTGGAATTACTTTGAATGTTTTTTAAAAAATGGAAACACGAGGTTGGAGAGATGGCTTAGAGGTTAAGAGCACTGACTGCTCTTCCAGAGGTCCAGAGTTCAATTCCCAGCAACCACATGGTGGCTCACAACCATCTGTAACGAGACCTGGTGCCCTCTTCTGGCCTTCAGTCATACATGCTGTATACATAGTAAATAAATAAATCTTTAAAAAAAAAATGGAAATGCTATCTAAAATTGGTACTGCATCTGACCAGCTGAAGGTGAAAGCCGAGCTATTAAAATAATTTCCCTTCCCATGCTGGCTGTGTACTCCTCCTGAGCCAACGCAGGTCCTTCCCACCAGCCTGCGACTCGGCTGTTTTCCTTCCTCCATTCCTTACTTATCTAACAAGCTGGACATGAAGACACACTTGCCATCCTTAAAGAGTGGGCCTCACGAACTGACGGAGCAGGATCACAAGGACTCTGTAAATATTTAGACTTTGGAAGCCCTCATTTGCCAAGTCCACACATTTTCTCCGTCTCTGTTTCTTCTCACAGCTTAGAAGTTGAGCTGGCAAAGCTGTTCTCATGAAAGCTGTAATCAAGATGATTTACCTTTGCTATTCTGTCCATTCTCCTTCTGGGACGAGAAAGCAGCTCAGGAAAACAGGGCCCTGGGGCAGCTGGTGTTGTGGGGCTGATAAAGAAAGGGCCGGAGGCTGATGGAAGGACCTGATCACGACAGTGGAGGCCAGCACTCCAAAGGTTGCTGAAAACAACCAGGCAACAGTTCCTCACGCTGCTCAGTCACTGCCGCCGCTTTGCTCCTTCAGGGACCTCCACGAGGAGCACATGCTGCAGAACTCCCACAGCCTCCACACTGCCTGCCTGCCCCAACGAAGGCCTCTGCACTGCCGGCCAAGCCTTCCAACACACTTCTCTGAACCCATAACCCTAAGACTGTCACTCTAAAGCTTCAGCCCAAGGACACGGACTGGGAGGACAGCGGCTCAGGCCGCACCTGGAGCTGGGCTGCTTGGCTTCCAACCCTAGCCCCATGTGCCTGTACAATGAGAGGCAAGCCTTTCATTATCTTAGGGTTTCTTCCTTCCTGCTAACAGCTCCATGCACACATGCTGTTGGGGTCTATTCACAATGTCTATTTCAGTGACTTTCTGTACAGTCAGAGCTGCACACCCAGGACTACAATCACCTCTGTCCTTTTTCCTCTCCTTTCCTTTTTCTTTTCTTCCAGAGTAAGGGATCAAACCCAGGCCTTGTGCATAGCAAGTCACATCCTCCAGCCTCATATGAGGAAACTTTGAATAGATGCTTGTCCAAAAGAAAAGACACATGTTCTTGTAGACTAACAACCATTGGGAAAAAAATCAGTCTCCAACAGAAGGGGTGACAGAGTACTCTGCTATTCTTGGAACGGGCTCCATTTATAGGTAGCTGTGACATTGTCCCTCTCTCAAAAGTGTCCCCAGTGGAATAAAGATTGGGATAATGGTTGTACAACTGTGTCTGGCTTATGATGGGTAAACTATATAGTATATAACTATGCAACACAGTTCTTAAAAAGAAGTCTAGGGGTTAGGGATTTAGCTCAGTGGTAGAGTGCTTGCCTAGCAAGTGCAAGGCCCTGGTTTCGGTCCTCAGCTCTTGGAAAAAAAAAAGTCTAGATCTGAATGACAAGTCCAAACGCCACGACCTGGAGGCCTCCCAAATGACTCAATGACCCTTTGCAAAGGAACCATTTTTCCAAGGAGATGTTTTTCAAGAGTATAGAGTTTTTTCCTTTTTCCCTACCAAGACAGTTTCTAGACTGGTCACACCAACATAAGACCATAGGGCTGGAAAGATGGCTCAATGGTTAAGAACACTCGTTTCTCTTCCAGAGAGCCTGAGTTCAGTTTCCAGCACCCATGTCAGGTGACACACCGTCCTGAACGCCAGCTCCCGGGTATCTGACACAGTCTTCTGGGCCTCACAGACACCTGTGCTAACACACACACACACACACACACACACACACACACACACACACACACACACTAAATAAAATAAGTATATCTTTCAAAAAATAAAATAAGACCACAGCCAAGTCTCAGATATCCACGCAAGTCAGCCCTTTCCGGGTCGTGTCAAAACTCCACAGATGCTCAGTTCACCTTGAAAATACGAATGCAGCCCATCTGTGACGTCTTGCTGGTCTGTGGTACCCAAAGCAGCGTTGTTGCTTTTAACCCCAGGGTCCCCACTCACTACAAAAGGATACATAGATGGTAACAAGTTTTGGCGTGTTACTGGCTTTAAAAATTAAAGCTAAAAACTTTTCCAGCTTCAGCTTTAATTCTGGAGTCCAAGAATCCTAAAGAAAAAAAATAAAATAAAACATCAGCTCACCAAATAGCCATGGTACCAACAAAGCTGTGGGCGTTGGGTTAAATAGCCCCATCAGTTACAGAAACCAAACGTGAAGCATCCTGCCAGGGCCGGAGAGCATGGAGAACAGGTTTTCTGATGTGTAACTGATTCATTTATAAATAATTCAAGGACTCACAGTGGGGACAAATAATTTCCACATGACTGGAATATTTCATACAATTTAAACACAAGCATGATAGTAATTTTATATGGTGAAATACCAAAATTAACTCAGTATAGTCTAGGCATGTATGTCAAGTTAGGCGTGACATAGACAATTATCTCTTAAGTTACTAGATACCCCAGAAAGGGAGTCACTTCTGGACCTCATCTGGACAAGAAAAAGGAAGTGGTCCTGCCACACTACCTCGTGCCATGGTGAGCACTGCAAAACAATTTCAGCTTAATCTGCCCTTGAAAATAAATTACTGCCAGTGGTGGTGGCACACGTCTTTAATCCCAGCACTCAGGAGGCAGAGGCAGGCGGATCTCTGTGAGTTCGAGGTCAGGCTGGTCTACAGCCAGGGCTACACAGAGAGAAACCCTGTCTCAAAATGACCCCCACCCTCCCAAAAGAAGGGGGGAAAATGATAGAAATTGTGAAAGAAAAAGTCTGACAATAGATAATTACCATCTCACTTTATATGTGTTGAGGGTTTTGCTATGTTACTCAGGCTGGCCTTGAACTTCTGACTCTCCTGAGTGCTGGGTAAATAGGCAGGCACCATCACGTCTGGCTTGAAAGGGACACACAGCCTAGTAACAAACTTCCTTGGGATAATTTTCACATAAAAATATCATCCACTTAAATCAAAAATTCCACAAAAAGCAGCTATTCCACCAAGTCCGTATCATTTTCCTCTCTCCAGGTCTGCACCCTTCTTTCTCCACACTTCCCACACCCTCGCCATCCTGCTACTCCTTACACCATCAGGTTTAGACACAATACTGACAGACAAGAAGAGAAAAAAAATCCCTTATTTTCAAAAGATCTTTAAATTCTCTGATGCTGCAAGATTTTAAAAATTGTAATGTACGAGATCATGGGTTGTACTGTTCGCCAAAACGCATGCTGAAATCCTTGTCCCTGGTACCTTGGGACATGAAGCTGTTGGGGTGGAGTCATGGCAACATCAGCTGTATGCGTACTCAACAGTGTGGACCCTTAATTCAATGCCATATGCCTGAGTAAAAAGGGAACTCACACACAGACACAGAGGGAAGATGACCAGTGGGTGTGTACGCTAGCCAAGGACCATCTGGGTCTATCCGAAGCTGGAGAAAAAAAGAGCTTAAAGCAAGGAGCACAGCAGCCCAGATGTGGTCTCAGGCATCTGGATCCCCAGACACCCTGTTGGCCCAGCTTTGCCCTCAGAAAGCAGCAGTGCTTCAGCTTGGGGCTCTGTCCATCCACCACCTGAGGAGTCTCAAGAGAAGGTGCTGAAGTGGACAATGTAAATCAAGACATTTATTTTAGTTACTGTTTGTGTGCAACATGAGCACGGGGACACGCATGCCACAGGGTATGAACGGAGGTCAGAGGACAACTTTTTGTTTGTTTTTAAGACAGGGTTTCTCTGTGTACAGTCCTGGTTGTCCTGGAACTCTTTGTAGACCAGGCTGGCCTCGAACTCACAGAGATTGGCTGCCTCTGCTCCCGAGTGCTGGGATTAAGGGTGTGTGCCACCACGACTGGGCCCGAGGACAACCTTAGGTGCCAGTCCTCTCCTTCCACTTGTTGGACAGAATCTCTCCTGCTGTTCTTGCAGCTCTGTGTATTCCAGGCTGGCTGACCTGAGAGCCTCTGAGCAATTCTCCTGTCTCCACTCCATTCTCACTATAGGAATGCCGACATCATATGGTAGCAACCACATCTAGTTGTTTTTGTGAGTCCCTGGGATCAAACCCAGGTTGTCACACTTGTGCACAAGTACATTTATCTGCAGAGATATCTCACCAGCCTAATCAAAACATTAAATTTTTATTAGAGTTATCCATTTTATTGTATGTGTGAGTGTTTTGCATGTATATATGTATGTGCACCATGTGCTTGTCTTATGCCTGTATCAGAAGATGGTATCATATACTCTGGAACTGGAGCTATGGATGGTTCTAAACCACCATGTGGGTTCTGGGGAATCGAACCCAAAGGTCTTCTGCAAAACCAATAAAATGCTGTTAACTTCTGAGCCATTTCTCCAGCTTCCCAAAAAAGATATTTAAAAACAATCAAAACAGGGGCTGAGAATGTGGTTTAGGTGGCAGAGTACTCATCTAGCATACTAAATGCTAGCATGCTAAAACACTAAATTCAATTCTTTTTTTTTTTTTGGTTTTTTTTTTTTGGAGACAGGGTTTCTCTGTGTAGCTTTGCGCCTTTCCTGGGACTCACTTGGTAGCCCAGGCTGTAAATTCGATTCTTAATACTGCATAAAACTGGGGTGCATGCCTGGAATCCCAGCACTGAGAAGGTAGAAGCAGGAAGATCAGAAGTCCAAGGTCATCTCAGTTATATGCTGAGTTTAAAGCCAGCCTGGGCTACATGAGACCCTGTCTCAACAAACCAAAAAAAAAAAAAAAAAAAAGTATTTGGGACCCATGGAGCCCCCAAGTCAAGTTGTTCTGGTTTTGGTGACTATTTTATGTAACCAACAGACAGGTCTTTTCCTCTCAATTACTTCTCTGACAATGTTCTTGCAATCACATGGATAGGCTGGAATACAAACTCTCCAGCATGAACCTCTCATGTCTTCCTTTCCTTCTAATGTTTCTAGCTTTGAGAAGAACACTTCCCGAGTCCGAGGAGTACTTGACCCCACTCTTCCAAAAAGAGGTGTGAAGAGCCTGGAGAAGCTGGGCCAACTCTGTGCAGACCACAGGTTTTTAGAGGGCACTCATGGCTGCTTGACTATCTTTCCAGAACTAAACGCTCTGGCCCTTCAAAATCTTCAGTGGAACCCTAAAAACACGGCAGGACTACTAAGAATGTGGGGACTGGGCCCAGGGCTCAACTCCATGTGCGCCGCTCCCCTCCCCCCCAAACCTCCCCTTGCCTCTCCAAACCTCTCTTGCAAAGTCTGCAACCGTAGATTCTCCCCCAGGCCCTAGTGACTGAACCTAGGGACTCTACATGCTAAGCAAGGGCTCTACCCCGAGTTACGTCCCTAACCTTTTCACTTTTGATTTTGAGATAACAGGATCTCATTAAATTGCCCAGGCTAGCCTTAAACTTCCTGCTTCAGTCTTCCTAGTAGCTGGGATTACAGGTCTGCACCACTAAGCTAGACCCTTCCATCTCTTTAAATCTTTATTAAGCTTAAGTCAGTCCCTGGCACAAACAATCACTTAGGTTCAATAAATGAGATAAGAAATGTGACCCAGGACCTACTAAAGGGAAATTATACACTCTCAAATCCAGAGAGAAAGACAGATCACTCCCAACACACAGACAGGCAGCTCCAGAGCAGCAGTAAGGGCGACAGGAGAGATGCAGCTTAGCTAGGTTTAAACACAAGTGGAGCCAGGCAGCAGTTGCGCATGCCTTTAATCCCAGCACTCGGGAGACAGAGGCAGGCGGATCTCTGTGAGTTCGAGGCCAGCCTGGTCTACAGAGTGAGATCCACGACAGGCACCAAAACTACACAGAGAAACCCTGTCTCGAAAAACCAAAAAAAAACAGAAGTGGGTCATCTCTTCAAGATCTATAAAGTATAAATAGTATGGCCTAAAAGGCGAGCATGTTTTGTAAAATGTCAGTTTAAGTTAATAAGCCATGGTGTTGACAACAACAAAATATCCTATTTTACGGCATAAGGAAAGTCTGTTAATGCAAACTATCTAAACATTGTTTTAAAATAAAATGTAAGAGGGGTTGCCTGGCATAAAGGGGGGAGGCAGTCCTTAGCAAATGACCAGTGCAAAAATTCTGTACCTTGATGGTGGTGACAGTAGTTACACCTACGCACACGTTACAATTCATAGAGCTGCACCTGTCCAGAAATCGACTTTACTATATGATGTATGAAAAAACTGATTTGATGTATGTGCATGGGGGTATGTGTGGCTAAAAACTACGTTTGTTTACTTTGCTACCTGTAAAGGGAATCATATGATGTGTCTTCTCTGGTATCTTCCTTGGCTTACTGAAGATTATGTCAACATGCAGTTCCATTTCCTTCTGCATGTCCCTACTGATTTACATATATGTGCATGAACATACAACCACAGCTATTATAGCATGGTAAAAAGTCAGTCAAACACTACCCAACGATTTAATAGAATAACTATAGAAATTAGGGCTACAATAAAATAATAATAATGAGGATAAACCTGAGGTCTTTTAAAGCATCATTTAGAAATCACCAATACAACGATGTGGTCCAGATTCCGACAAGTTGCACTGGCAGCTGCTTACCTGGAAGAGTTCTTTAAACGAGGGGTGGACCTCAGGATTGGGCACAAAGGGGAGGGCGTAGAAGGGAAGAAACTCTGTGGTCTGGCTCAGGGCAGCCCCTTTGGCTTCCAGGTAGGTTTTGAAATAAGAAATCCTCTCATCTAGCTCCTGTTTGTCCTAGAAGAAGGAGAACACATGTTCAGGTCTTTGGCTCAGCACTCAGTCCTCCTGCTCACCCTGTCCACTCTGCGGGCTCCCTAAATTCCAGCCATGTCACTAGCATTGCCGCATCCAGCCTGGCAAGGCACATTGCTCCAGTGTCTAACGTCACATTACATAGGAATGCCAGAGGACCAATGTGTAGTTCACATGTTCCTTTATATCACCAGCACCATCTTTTCATTTATTACAAAGCTTCATGAACACCATTTTCAGTGTCAGAACCAATGTCACCTTGTCTATCATAATCTACTTGACTAATTCTCCATTTTAGAGAATTAGTGAGATGTACCCATCATTGCTTCCACCTTCCAGACATATAAACATTTGTATGCATCCCCATGTTGCCCTCAGAGAGGTTTCTAAAGAGAATGACACGTCTTTGTAGTTTCCTGAAACAGAAGGGCTCACCTTCTCTTCATGAAGCTAAGGATCGACCACATCCACATCACTGTTCCATGTACAACCCAACTCAAGGGACCCCTCCATCACTGTTCTATGCACAACCCAACTCAAGGGACCCCTCCATCACTGTTCTATGCACAACCCAACTCAAGGGACCCCTCCATCACTGTTCCATGTACAACCTAACTCAAGGGACCCCTTCATCACTATTCCATGTACAACCCAACTCAAGGGACCCCTCCATCACTGTTCCATGCACAACCCAACTCAAGGGACCCCTCCATCACTGTCCTATGTACAACTCAACTCAAGGGACCCCTCCATCACTGTTCTATGTACAACCCAACTCAAGGGACCCCTCCATCACTGTTCTATGTACAACCCAACTCAAGGGACCCCTCCATCACTGTTCCATGTACAACCCAACTCAAGGGACCCCTCCATCACTGTTCCATGCACAACCCAACTCAAGGGACCCCTCCATCACTGTCCTATGTACAACTCAACTCAAGGGACCCCTCCATCACTGTTCTATGTACAACCTAACTCAAGGGACCCCTCCATCACTGTTCTATGTACAACCCAACTCAAGGGACCCCTCCATCACTGTTCCATGCACAACCCAACTCAAGGAACCCCTCCATCACTGTTCTATATACAACCCAACACAAGGGACCCCTCCGTCACTGTTCTATATACAACCCAACACAAGGGACCCCTTCATCACTGTTCTATGTACAACCCAACTCAAGGGACCCCTCCATCACTGCTCTATGTACAACCCAACTCAAGGGACCCCTCCATCACTGTTCTATGCACAACCCAACTCAAGGGACCCCTCCACCACTGTTCCATGCACAACCCAACTCAAGGAACCCCTCCATCACTGTTCTATGTACAACCCAACTCAAGGGACCCCTCTATCACTGTTCCATGCACAACCCAACTCAAGGGACCCCTCCATCACTGTTCCATGCACAACCCAACTCAAGGGACCCCTCCATCACTGTTCTATATACAACCCAACTCAAGGGACCCCTCCATCACTGTTCTATGTACAACCCAACTCAAGGGACCCCTCCATCACTGTTCCATGCACAACCCAACTCAAAGACTCTCCTCTCTGGCTTCAGGGTGGACACTTGAGGCTTTAGAACTAGTGTTTTTCTCCTCCACCACACAGACCCCGCCTTCTTCTTCTTCCTATGAACACACCTCACTCAACCTAGGCCATGAGGTCCTCTTCTGAGCACTGGACTTAGAAAATAGATAACGCTGACTTTCATATTCCATCAAAATAGGAAAATGTTTAAACAGAAATAAGGTGGAACAAAACAAACAATAACAAGCAACAAAGAGAGTCTGCCCCTCCCCACACGGGTCACGTTAGAGGAACAGCCTTCCAAGAACGGCTACTTGGTGGCAGTGTGAAGTCACTCCCTCAGCACTGCACCCTCCACTGGAGTCCATGACACTCCAGTGAGTTCCCACAGGAACTCAGGTCAGTGTTACTATGAGTGACCAAACGGCAGCTCTCTGTCCTTTGCTGTTTTGTCTGTAATTGAAGGCTCGTCTACCACAGGGGCTTGGCACGCCAGCCCCCTGGGCTCCTTTCCACATCTCCAGCCATCTAGGAAAAGGAAGCAGAAGCTAAATTCAGGCAGTCCCTGCACCTTCAACACTATTCTCCACGACTTGCATTTAACTATGTGGTCTGTGCCTTTTCCTAGATCCACCAAGTTACCAAACAGAGCAGACCTGCTTTGAAGAGTCTCCAAGAACCTGAGGTGTTTAGGAAAACAATTTTAACTTTCATCACAGAAATTACAAAATCTGCATATAAATTAGAAAATAAACTTCTGAGAATGAAGCCAGAAATCATTTATCAGGACATACGACGCAACGTGATAAAATGGTCACAAAACTAAATCAATGCTTCCTTGAAATCCCTGATGGCCGGTTAGCTAACTCAGACTGACCCAAACCCCAAATCAGCCTACCGGCCTGCCTCCAGAGTACTTCAGAAGATAGATGGCAAAATGGATGTGAAGGTAGAACTCCAGCTTCTGGGCCAGGGAGTCAGTATCTCTGATGGAGCTGGGAACGTGTCCCTCCCACAAATCGAAGAACAACTTCTGGTCTCCACTGTCAAACGCTGCCACCAAATCCTTCTGTGGAGAAGACATAACAAGAATCCTGGATGATGCTCATTCTCCCAACACCCCAAACTCTCACCACCTACCTAATGCTAGATACCTACACACTCCGACCCAGATACTCCTTTGGCGACAAGCCCTTGGCCACTCAGTTTTTCAGCCTTTGCAATCCGCAAGCTGGACTCCATGAAATGTTAAGGCCTTCAAAACAGAGCTGAGACCAGAGGACTTGTGGGCATGTGAGTGCACTGAAGTCTCCCTAGGAGGACTACAAAAATTCCAAGGTGGAGAACAACTGCTTCAGAATGCTGCCTTACCCTGAGCTACTACCACCCATTCAAGACAACCCATAACTTCTTTCCTGGTTTCTTTTTGTTTTTCGAGACAGGGTGTCTCTGTGTAGCCCTGGCTGTCCTGGATCTCGCTCTGTAGACCAGGCTGGCCTCGAACTCAGAGATCTGCCTGCCTCTGCCTCCCGAGTGCTGAGATTAAAGGCGTGTGTCACCACAGCCTGGCTGAAACCCAGAACTTTTTTAAGTAAGCCCAATAAAGCTTTCTGTCTCCTCCCAACAGGCAGCCTGTCAGCCACTGTGGATGGAGGCTGCCAGAACACAGCACAGGCAGCCATGCACAGCCCCCCAGTAGTTGGGGGGACCTGGCTCTCTCGTGAAAGAAGACTGCAATGTGCTGTGGGATGGCCTGTATGTCAAGTGTGTTGCTGATTGGTCAATAAATAAATCATTGATTGACCAGTGGCCAGGCAGGAAGTATAGGTGGGACAAGGAGGAGAATAAAGCTGGGAAGTGGAAGGCTGAGTCAGAGACACCGCCAGCCGCCACGATGACAAACAGCATGTGAAGATGCCGGTAAGCCACGAGCCATGTGGCAAGGTATAGATTTATAGAAATGGATTAATTTAAGCTGTAAGAACAGTTAGCAAGAAGTCTGCCACGGCCACACAGTTTGCAACCAATATAAGTCTCTGTGTTCACTTGGTTGGGTCTGAGCGGCTGTGGGACTGGCAGGTGAGAGAGATTTGTCCTGACTGTGGGCCAGGCAGGAAAACTCCAGCTACAGCAACGGTGAAGTGACTGCCCAGGGACGTGCTGCTGGGCTGGCTCAGCCCACACTGTCCTCCTCTGAGAGTCCCTGCAACCCTGCCAGCCACTCTGGGGAGCCTGAGAGTTCCATGATTGTGGACGAGATGAGTGCAGACTCACCACCAATCACACTGCTGCTGGAACTGGGCCTAAAAATGGCAGCTTAAGGCCACCAACCATTAGTAGATTTTGCTTAACCACTATTCCAGAGACTTTTGTTGTTTGAGTTCCTAAAAAAATATTTTAATTACATCTATTTAGAGAAAGTGTGTGTGTGTGTGTGTGTGTGTGTGTGTGTGTGTGTGTGTGTGTTATTGGCACACGTGCTACAGTGTATACATGAAGGTCAAAAGACAACTTTTGGGAGTTGGCTCTCCCACCACATGGTCCTAGCAATCAAACTCAGGTCCTCAGGGTTGGGAGCAAGTGTGTTAACCACTAAGCCATCTTTCTAGCCCAGTTTTTGCTGGATTCCCTCATCTTGACTTCCTGCCTCCCAAGTGCGCAACCACACTCCTGTTTTGCCCCAACGGCTTTAGTTTGGGAAATCCATTAGTGGGGCACTATGATAGAGTGGCCTATGTTGTAATATAATAATATACAGTATTATCTAATAGCTATTGACTGGATAACCAAAAAATAAAGATAAATAAATATTAAATACACACACACACACACACACACACACACACACACACACACACACACACCAGAAAAGAACAAGTATTAGCAAAGATGGATGAAACTGGAACCTTCTACATTGTTGGAGGGAATACAGATTTATTTTATGTGTGTGGGTGTTTTGCCAACATGTATATCTGTGCACCACATGCTTGCCTGATACCTGCAGAAGCCAAAAGAGGATGTCAGATCCCTTGGAACTAGAGTTACAGATGGTTATGAGCCACCATGTGGGTGCTGGGAATTAAACCTGGGTCCTCTGGAAGAAGAGCCAGTGCTCTTAACTGCTGAGTCCCCTCTGTGTGTTTTTGATGGCAACCATCCTAACGTGTTTAACATATAATATCTTGTGGTTCTTAGTGCATTTCTCTGATAGCTTTGGGTCTATTTCTACCTAACTTTAAAGAACTTGCAATTTTGGACTGTCACAAGCATCTTCCCAGAGCTGAAGACAAGGCAGGTCTTACCTGGATCATCAGGGACGTGGAGTCCTTCTTCAATGACCCACTTGCAGTTTTACACAGTGGCTTTCCTTTGACTTTGCATTCTTTTGAAAATGTCTTCAGGGTTTCTTCAAATTCAGCAAAATCTAAATACTGGGACAGAGAACATAATTCAGGAACAAAAACAAAACAAAACAAAACAAATTCCGAATACTCCAACGGTCAAATGCCCTGAACACGCAGACATATAAAAGGCCAACAGGAATATGCTCAAAACCACACCCATATGAATATCTACTATCAAAAAGACGAGACCTAGGAATGTCTTGCAGAGGACCCAAGTTTAATTCCTAGCACCAACAACAGGAGGCTCACAACTTCCTGTGTGACTCCAGCTCCAGAGGATCCAACGCCCTCTTCTGACCTCCATGGGCACCTGCACTCAAATGCATATACATGCACACAAACACATAAATCATGAAATAAGTCTTCAAAAAGATAAGCGCTAACAGAAACTAGAGGAACTGTTAGTGACAATGGAGACCAACACAGCTATAATGGAAAATAAATGGAGGTGCCTCAAAAAACAAACTAGGAAGAAGAGTAATAAGAATTTATTACATACACGTATGCAACTGTCAAATAACAAATCATTCAACAAAAAATCGGAACAACCTTGTGATCCAGCAATCCCATTTCTGGGTATAGATAGAAAGAAAATAAAACCCATTTTTAAGAGTGCTATCTGCACATGAGTATTTCTACAATATTATTCAAGATAGCCAAGACACGGATGAACCTAAATATCCATCAATAGTAGGTAAGAAAATACTAAAATAAAGTATTACAGCCTTAGGAAATCCTGTCAACACGAATGGCATTGGGGACATACATTACAGGAAACAGGCCAGGCACAAAAAGGTAACTATTGCAATTACATGTGCAATCTAAACAGTCATGCTTCTAGAAGTGGATAGCACAATGGCAGTTGCCAGGGGCTTAGACAATAGTTTAGTCAAAGGATATATTTTAGTTACACAAAATGAGTAAGGCCTGTGAGCCAATACTCAACACGGTGACTGGGAAGCACAAGCACATTGGGATTTGCTAGCAGAGTTGATTTTAAGTGTTTTGTTTTGTTATTTTTTTAGACAGGATTTCTCTGTGTAGCTCTAGCTGTCCTGGAACTCGCTCTGTAGACCAGGCTGGCCTCGAATTCACAGAGATCCGCCTGCCTCCACCTTCCAAGTGCTGGGATTAAAGGCATGCACCACCACCGCCTGGCTGCTTTTTGTGTTAAGTGTTCTTAACACACAATTAGTGGAAGAAGAGGAGGAAGGAAGGAAGAGGGTAAGAGGAAACACAAGACGGGTGTACTTAATTAGCTTAATGAGGTGATCACCTCAGTACTTCAATCCACACATACGTTGAAACATCAGGCCATAAACGTACATCTTTTTTGTCAATTACTTATGGAAAATAGGTGCCCACGGATTTCAGATAAAAGTGTCAAATCTTCTGGGGCTGGAACTACAGGTGGTTATGAGCCATCTACATGGGTTCTGGGAACTGAATCTGGGTCTTCTGCATGAGCAATATGTGTTCCTAACCACTCTCCATCTCCATCATTTTTATTATTAATAGAAACTGAAGTGATGCAGTCTGAAAAAAGCAAAGTGATTGGATGGCTCTTGGTTTACTAGGATCGATTTGGAATAGAATTAAAAATAATGCTTTGCTAACAGGAGAATAAAGCATTAAAAATGGGAAATGTTAGCCGGGCGGTGGTGGCACATGCCTTTAATCCCAGCACTCAGGAGACAGAGCCAGGTGGATCTCTGTGAATTCGAGGCCAGCCTGGTCTACAGAGCGAGTTCCAGGACAGGCACCAAAGCTACACAGAGAAATCCCGTCTCAAAAAAAAAAAACAAAAAAAAAACAAAACAAAAAGGGAAATGTTAGCAGTGAGCTTCTTGCAGAGTGCTCCCACTCTTGAGAGCAATGCTCTGATACTGTTCTTCACCCATCATTTCAGCTGGCATCAGTCACATCATGTTCCACCTTTTCTAAAATGTGGCTGGGTCCCCTGGTCCTGTCCACAGTCGTTATGGCACCAGCTATGGCATTTTATTCACCAACTGCACAATGAACAACTTTGCCTACCCAAAGTGGCCACCCACCTCCCTCCAGTGTCTCCTGAAGTCTGTCAGTTTACTCACAATGAACAGCTCCAAACCTCAGAGGTCTGCCAGATTCCTACACGCCCAAGCTTTCAGTGTAGCAAACTAAATGGCCGAAAGTCAAAGGAGGGTATTCCAGGTCTATAGCACATGCCTGTGACCCCTGCACTGGGAGGGCAGAAGCAGGAGGATAAGGATTTTAAGGTCATCTTTGGCTACACATCAAGTTCACGGTCATCCTAGGCCACATGAGACCCAGTCAGACACAACACGATCACACTCAAGAGTGAGTGAGTAAAGCGGAAAATCATGTAATGATAAAAAACAAAACTACAAACTAGGAAGAATTTGTTGCAGCTTACTATTTATTTGTATATTCATTTACTCATTTAATTTGTTTTGATAACAGGTTCTCTGTATAAAGCCCACACTGACCTGCTAAAGCCTTTCAATTACCTGGATTACATGTGTAAACTTGCTACCTTTTAAGGATTTATTTATTTTTATATCATGTGCACAAGTAGCTTGTCTGAATGTTTATCTGTACACCACATGTATGCAGTACCCACAATGCCAGACAACATCAAATCCTATGAAACTGGAATTAGAGACGGCTGTTAGCCACATGTGGGTGCTGGGAACCAAACCTGGGTCCTCTGGAAGAGCAGTCAATGCTTTTAACCACCAAGCCATTTTTGCTACATTTTAATTTTGTTTTTAAAGATTTATTCTTTTTATTTTTATGTGTATGGGTATTTTTGTCTATACGTATGTCTGTGCACCACATCCACGCCTGGTATCCACAGAAGCCAGAAGAGGGTGTTGGATCCCCTGAAACTAGAATTACTAATGGTTTTAAGTCACCGTGTGGGTGCTGAGAATCAAACCTGGGTCCTCTCAAAAAGCAGCCAGTGATCTCTCTCTCTCTCTCTCTCTCTCTCTTTTTTTTTTTTTTTTTTTGGTTTTTTGAGACAGGGTTTCTCTGTGTAGCTTTGGTGCCTGTCCTGGAACTCACTCTGTAGCCTAGGCTGGCCTCAAACTCACAGAGATCCACCTGGCTCTGCCTTCCAAGGGCTGAGATTAAAGGTGTGCGCCACCACTGCCTGCCTGCAGCCAGTGATCTTAACCTCTGAGCCAGCTCTCTGTTCCTACTACATTCTAAAATACGTGTTTTGGGGATCTGAGTTCCAATCCCAGTACCCACAGAAGGTGGCTCACAAATGCCTGCAACTCCAGCTCCAAGGGATCCAATGCCCCACTCCGGCCTCCATTGGCAGTCACACACACAATGCAAACAGCCATACAGACATAAACATACAAATAGTCTTTTTAAAAAATGCTTTTCTATGACTTGTGTTTCATATAATTACCTCTTTCACCAGTCCAAGTAATTCAGATTCATGGGCCAGAATATCCCCCATAGTGAACTGTTACTGGCAATTCTCACGGCAGAAATCTCTATAAGACAAAAACATTAACAAAGGTTAATTTCAACCACCTGAGAAATCGCTAATGGGTGGCTGTGGTGGGCAGAAGACAGGGCCCCAAAGACAGGCGCATAGTAATCCCCAGAACCTGTGACTATAGGACACCAGGAGTCACATGACTAGGGGGATTTAAAAATGCAGGTGGCACTGATATAACTAATCAGCTGTCCTTCAGTCACAGAGATAAGCCTGGATTACCAGCTCACCCAAGAGAGTCACAGAGGAAAAGGAGGCATGAAGGCCAGTGTCAGAGTGATAAGATGCAGAAAGATGGACCTGTCACTGCAGGCTTTGAAGACAGAGGAACTGGGAGGCAAGGCACACTGTCCTCTAGCTTGTCATGAAAGAAACAAGCTGCCAAGACCTGAATTTGGCACATGCATCTGAGTCCCCTTAGTAGAGGGCCAATCAAGCACTCCTGTGGCTATGCACCGGAAATGTTCACTGCAGGCTTCTAACCTCCAGAACTTCAGAACACTAAGCCTGTACCAGTTCAAGTCACCGAGTTCATGGGGTTCCTCACAGCAGAAGTAGAAAACATGAGAGCTAAGCTGTCGTTCTACTGGTAGAGTTCTTGACAAGAAGGCATTCAGCCCTCTAGCACCTCATGAACTGCCAGTGGTGGCACACATCTGTAATCCTAGCACTTGGAAGAGAACGGGTGATACACACTCCTGTAATCCCAGCATGTGGGAGGTGTTCCTAGGATCCTATAGAAGAAGGCAGACTTCTTAGGCAGAGCTCTCTAAGTCCTATGTAGCTCTCCATTGATCTGCTGACTTGAACCACACAGGCCATCCAGCAGTTCCAGCATACATGGAAATTCAATGACGCCCACAATATATCCTACCCTCGAGGACCTGCATGTACACAATGCCGGCTGCTTGGATGCTCTTCCTGCAAACATCTACATCTTGTTTGGTCTCCACTTAATGGGGCCCACCCAGAGAGGCTTGCCAAACCACCCATCTAGCCCATCACTCCCAAGTGCTGCGGCTTCCCAGAAGCACTCTCCCCTGGCTGACTTCAATATCCTGTCATTGATGCATCTGCAACAGAATCCCCTTCCATAAATCAAGGCAAGTATTGTGTGTGGCACTACACCTTTGATGTCCATTAGACAGCCAGGCCCTGACATGTCTGGAGCTGGATGAAAAGAGACTCAGGGAGAGAATGAAAACTCATTAGAAACAGGGGCCGGGTGGTGGTGGCGAATGCCTTTAATCCCAGCACTCGGGAGGCAGAGCCAGGCGGATCTCTGTGAGTTCGAGGCCAGCCTGGTCTACAGAGCGAGATCCAGGAAAGGCGCAAAGCTACACAGAGAAATCCTGTCTTGAAAAAAACCAAAAAAAAAAAAAAAAAAAGAAAGAAAGAAAGAAACAGGGTAACGATTTGAAGACAAGGGAAGGTAGGAACCACACTGATTAACGCAACGTGACAGGGTGGCACACCTTTAATCCCAGCACTCAGGAGGCAGGGGCAGGTGGATCTCTGTGAGTTCAAGACCAGCCTGATCTACAGAGTGAGTTCCAGGACAGCCAGGGCTACACAGAGAAACCCTGTCTCAAAAAAAAAAAAAAAAAAAAAAAATGGGGGAGGGGAGAGACGTGTCACATTCCAGTGATTTGGAAGACAGAAGACAGTGGTCTGGGTGGGAGAGAAGCTTAGCATCACTACACTTTGGGGCGTGACGTGGTGACAAGAAGCTTACTACCACTGAGTGCATGGACGAAGAGGATGGAGGAAAGCATGCTGGAAATAAGAATACGGAAAGTGTGCAGGTCAAGATGTTGAAATCTCCGAGGTAAGTACAGAGGTAAGGAGGGAAATGTCTGTAAGGAAACAGGCCGTCAGGGGCTGGAGCACTGGCTGCTCCTCCAGAGGACCTGGGTTCAATGCCCAGCACCCACATGACAGGCCACAACTGTCTGTACCTCCAGTTTCAAGGGAATCCATGGCAACAGGCATGCACGTAGTGCACATATCTATGCATGCAAGCCAAATACTCATACACATAACATAAATAAATCTTTAAAAAAAAGAAAGAAAGCAGGCAGGCTGAAAGCTCCATGTGGTGACACAGGCACACCTTTAATCCCAGCACTCAGGAGGCAGAGGCAGCTGGATCTCTTTTTGAGGCCAGCGTGGGCTACAAAGTGAGTTCCAGGACAACCAGAGCTATACAGAGAAACCCTGTCTTGAAAAAAACCAAATAAATAAATTTAATTAAGTTAAAAAGCAGGCTGAGCAATCCATAGGGAGCAAGGTAATAAGCAGCACTCCTTCATGGCCTCAGTACTGGTTCACGCCTCCAGGTTCAGCCTTGAGTTTCTGCCCTGACTCCCTTTGACGAACAGGGACGTGGAATTGTAAGCAAAACGAACCCTCTCCTCCCCATGTTGCTTCTGGCCATGCTGTTTCATCACAGCAATAGAAACTCTAACTAGACAGTGCCACACTGAGCAAATTCACATCCACCTCAGAAAAGCGACAAAGCTAGAATTAAATCTATGCCGATACTGCAGGAGAATATGCAGGAGTTGGTTCTCTCCTTCCAACACGTGGGTCCTGGGGTTCCGACTCTGGTCTCCAGGCTTGGTCAGCAAATGCACACCTCTTGCCAGTTCAAGGTCACCCGTTTGAGAACCCTCTCTGTTGGATGGATGTCCCGTCTCCTTAGCTCGGTTAATTTAGGCCAGACAACCTCTGGGCTAAGGATCTACTTTGTGGAGAAAGGAGGGGGCTGTTTATCATGTTTTGGCATGCGATGACGACTTCTGCATTCCCACCTGCGAGAGATTTAGGCCTACAGCTGGCTGAATGCGAAGATGAATTTGTACTGCAAATTACCATGCTTCCACTTAGACTCAGTGAAGTCTGAGCTTGACCTGGGTGCTGGGAGGGAAAACTACTCGTGAAAACTATGGGGAGAGAGGGACCTAAACGCCCCAGACCATGGGATCGCGCTGCCAATGCTCAGCTAGACGAGCTGGGGCCACCCCAAGTTCGCCTCACCGCAGCAGAGCGAGGGGTTCCTGGGGAAGCAATGGCCCTGGCCATGTAGGAGCCAGGACTGACGAGGCTAGCCACCCACGCGGGGTGCCCAGGCCTGCGCCACAGGGCCCGGCCGCACCGAGGGCCGCGCTTACCAGCTGCAGGGCTGCGCTCTCTCCTCCGGACCGCCAGCTCTCCCGCCGTCACCCCGGCAACCGCCACCGCGGGGTCACGTGAGGGGACGCGGCCAATCGCACAGGGCGAAGCCGGCGCGGAGCATCCTGGGAAGGAGAGTGGGCCGCCGCCGAAGCGAGTGTTTGCGGTTGCGTAGCGTGCCCCGGTCTTTAGCAAGGTCGGCCTGTTTAAAATCCGAGCACCACATTTCCACCTACGTCAGACCTTCCCAGAGATTATTGGAGTCACTTTTGTCTTTTTCGGGTGCGTTTAGGTTTGTAAACAAACAAAAAACGGAGACTGGCGAGATGCCTTAGAGGCTAAAGGCGCTTTCCTCCAAACCCAACGACAGAAGTTCGACCCCCAGGACCTACCTGGGGAACACGAGCGTGCTTTTAACAGTACTTAAGCTTCTGCTCAGCCCACTGTCCTTAGTGTATTCAGATCTACTCTTCTTACTCTGGTCCAAACTCAGTGCTGAAGGCAAGAAAAAAACTCGCCTTTAAAGAAGCCCTAGGGTGGTCGGAGGCCCCCATCTCCTGGGCTCCGCTCTGTCAATACTTTGATGAGTTAGGGTGCCTTTCAAGCAAGGGTATATTATATAGGAAGAGAGTACTATGTCCTATCCAGGTAATATGGCTTGAAAATAATTTTCCCGGGATGTGTTCTCAGTAAACAATTATTGTCAGTATAACTGTGTACCAGGGTTACCAAGTAAAATATAGGGCAGCCAATTATCTTTAAATTTCAGATAACTATCAGAAATATACCCGCAATATTGCCACATTCTAGTGTACATGTATGGTGCTATATTTTGTATTTTTATTTGCTGAATACCTAACCATATATGTGTCCAGCATCCTGCTGAGCTAGTCACATAGGTTCCTTTTTTTTTTTTTTTTCACACCTTGATTGACTCTCATGTCCATGGGATGGATAATGGGCTCAAGCTCACACTGTTGTGCTTTACTAGAATTCGACGCATCTGCAAAACAGCCACAGTTAACACACTACCCTCTTGTTTTCCAAAATCCCTCGTCCTTTGTCTTCTGGGAAGGACCCAGATAAAACTGTCCACTCTTCCTCATGAATCCCATGCAACTCAAATCCCAAACAGCTTGCAGTTGACTGATCCCTATGTTTACCCATGACAACAACAAACACTGACCTTTCAACTTCCCACTGTCTTCTAGTTGATTAGCTGAAGTTAGAAACTGTACTCACTCCCTGAAACTAGTCAGAAATAAACGTTTCTGGGTCTTCTGCTGAGGGTTAACTATAAACCATAAACTACCCTAACCATAAATCATCCTATCCCTCCATGCAAGTGTTAGATGGAGCCCCTGCTCTCCCTATTGCAAAAACCTGAATAAAATCCATCTTCTTAACTGTCCAGGTTTTGTCTTTGGAAAAATGAATTACATGAGGTAGAGCCCTCGGGGGCTTGGCAGTTAAGAGCACTGGCTGATCTTTCAGAAGACCAGTTCGATTCCCAGCACCTACATGGCAGTTTACAACCATCTGTAACTATAGTTCTGGGGTCTCTTAACACCCTCTTCTAGCCTCCAAGGGCACTGCATGTACATGGTACATAAACATACATGCAAGTTGAATAAGCATACATGTGAAAAATAAAATTCAGGGCTAGAGAGATGGCTCAGCCATTAAAAGCTTCCAGAGGACCCACTCATACCTACTTGGCTCACAAGCATCTGTAATTCCAATTATTGGATGCTTATGTATTTATTTTTTTATTTTGGACTCCACAGGCACTGCACATGTGGGGCGCACAAACAAGACACA